ATTCATTAAATAAACATTTAATACTATTATTAAACTCAGAATTCAATAGAAAATAAAATAATGTTTTATTAATTGATTAGATAAATAAGTTCAAGTGTTTCGTGTTTAAAGTCTAATGAGTGTTTCAAACATGATTATAAAAATGCAATGTAAACACCCTGTAAAAGTTAAAATGTTATAAAAATTTGTTTAAAAAATAATTTATTATAAAAATTAAAAACTCATAATAAACTGTTTTAAATATTAAATTTAATCATTAAAAATTGATTTTTAAAAATTATAGGGACATTATTTAGTTAGAAATTATTTTATGAGCCTGATTGTTTTATGCATGACAATTTTGCACTAGGGATATGACAAATGGTTGTCCCCATGAAGTACTTATGTCATTGTGTGGGGTAGGTATGCTAGATTAAAAGTGCACATACGGTACAATATATACAAAATTGTGTACCATAAAATTTTTTAGTATAAAATATTTTGATTAAAAATTTTAATCAAGATGCATATCAGTTTTTTCTAACTTTTAATAATTTAAAATCAAATTCACATTTCTAATAATATTTATTTATGAATGCTATTGTGATTATAATAAATATCAAAATATAATCTATGTTAGTATATTTTTTCTAGTACAAGTACATGTATGATCCAAGTATTTTCTGATGCTAGTATTTATAATAATTTTATATTAAAACTTAATTTTTAATATTGATACATTATTATAATCTTAAAAGTAGATTGTTAGTTATAAACATAATTAATAAATAAATAAGTGCATTTCTAGTGCATCATACTAATGAGTAAGATCACCAAGTGCTTTTACACTAAATTCAAATAATAGACTGACTTTCTAATATTTTTTGAACTGGGTAAATACTATGTGACTTAAATTTAAACGCTGTATAATATAGTCTGTATAATAACTTTTTGACCTTACTTACTCGAGTAGTTTAATAAAAAGTACAAATGATTTTGTTATACACAGGACATTTTAATAAATTTTTCTAAATAAATTATACACTCATGTTAGTATTTTAGTAGATTATTAGATGATAAACATTACTTATTTATTGACTATACATGCACAGTTAAGTGCAGAAAAACTTGTATTTACTATTGATTTAATAAATAAGCAAAAACTTAATGATCTGTTTCATATAATATTTGCACACAATTGTAGTCAATATTTAGTTTGAATTCTAAGGGCACTATTAAATATTCACTAGTACATTTGTGTAATTATTAACTGTCTCATTATTATTTACAAACAAATGATGTTTATATTTAGTTTGAATTTTAAAGGTACAATTTAATCAATATTTACCATTACCATTTGTGCAAATTTTGTCTTATTATGCTAATTACTTTAGTAAATACATATTTTATAAACATAACGTACCTTGGTTTCGACCGTAAATATTTAAGTGCATAAAAACAGTTACCTAGTGCATGTAGTCTGAATCATTATTTTGTATCGTGTTTATTAATACCTTTTCATTTCATTTAATTAGTTATATTACATATAAAAAATAAAAATATTATATTATAAATTAATAATTCCTTATTAATTAATAAATTATTTTCAAAAATAAAATGTAGAATAAAATAAAATAAGTCGATTTTGTTTAATATAAAATTAAATAGTAATTATAAAAATAAAATAAAAAATAAATATAATAAAAAATACGATATTAAAATAATAGACGAATGTGCTTGTTTTATTATGCATTAGTTTATAAGTTATACTAGCACAATTTGGACTTGCCTAAGCACTTGACATTTTGAAAATCTTATAAAATGCGTACATTATTAGTTTATCATATAAATATATTATACTAGTGATAAAAATAATCAAATTAATAAATCCACAAAATATCTAATATAATCCCACAAAATTTCATATAATCTACGAATAAATAAAGCAACCAATAAAAATAAATTTATAAAGGTTAAAAATTATAATTAATTTAGGATTTGCAAATAAAATGTTTATAACTTTAGAAAATATTTACTTAATACATTTTGAATGATATAGACTTAATGTTCAAAGATATATTGTCTAGGAAAATTGGGTATATAACAAACTGTAATAAATAATTAATTTAAAAACAATAACTTTTACTATAAAAATTGTAACAATTGAAAATAAGCTTGTTTAATTTAATATGTACTCAATTAAAACTATTATTTTATTGTGCATTGTTATTTTAAAAATAACTAGGTGCATAAGTGATAATGTATGTGCGAGTGGTTGGTCACCTTATTTAGAGGACAAGTGTTACATAGCGTTGGAAACGGTGGGCACGGAATTGGAAGCAGAGGCCAAGTGTTCACAATTGGATCCTACGGCCACTTTGGTTACCATACATACGGCTCAGGAGGAGGAATGGCTCACAAACTACTTGAAAGGATTCGCAAATATATCAGACTATGTGTGGATTGGTCTCAAATGGTCGGGAAAGGGGTTCGTATGGGTCGATAACACTGCCCTCGACTACAAGAGTTGGGGAAAGGATGCTATACTCGATGGCAGCCTATTATGTGCCGACTTTTCAATAACTACCGCAACATTGGGGAACTGGACCGACAATAGTTGCAATAAGAAAGGACTCATAGCGTGCCAATACCCACAAATGTCCCTGAGCAAATTATCTAAAAAGCTTTCTAAACTAGAAACACAATTAATTGATCAACAAGCTGAAATAAGTAGCTTAAAACAACAAGTGATACCATTGGGGTTTCTGTATACGCAATTGCCTAACATGTCAGCACCGGGTGTATTATGGCCAGCCATGAAATGGGATGACGTGACCGCACAATATGCCGGCTTATTTTTCCGGGCCGAGGGTGGCACGGCTGCCAAGTTTGGTGAGATTCAACCGGCTAATCAGTCGTCAATTGCCACAATTAGTTCATCATGCATGTTTAACACTACACATTCAACTGATACGGGTAATAAATTGAAGCAAATACCTAGTGGATGGTCAAATGAATTACAGCCAGATCTATGCAAAGGGTTTGACTCATTTCTAATATTCACTACGACAGGTGAAAGTAGACCTATAAATACCTCGGTTAAATTATGGAAACGTATAGCTTGATACATTCAGCTGAAATCTGAGTTAATTAAATTTTAATGTATTAATGATAATAAGTTATTCATAAAAACATAGTGTTATAAAAATAATTTATTAATATTATAATTATATAATATATAATATAAATAAATTTAATGTTATATTAAAATATAAACTATTTCAATGTTGTTCAGTGAATGAAATAAAAAAATTATAAAATATAAAAGGAGCTCCAGAAAATCCAGTGGATTTCCAGTGGAAATGGTTGTGTCTTCTCCATAGAGTGCTTACGAACACACAAATGGAAAGTAAGTGTCAGTTCTGTACGTCTAATGCCATTCACTCTCTCTCTCTCCCCCCCCCTCTCTCTCTCTCTCTCTCTCTCGGCTAACAGTGCCATAAGAGTAGTTCTCAATTTACACCCGAAAACACAGCCCATACTCACACACACCATACCAGCCCTTCGGAGCAAATCTTTCGTTAACAACAACTATAACGACAAACACAACACAAACAACGAGTTTCTCTGTATTCATATAAACCAGTCATTTGGCCGGAGATTCGCTCATAATATCCTCAAAAATATATATCTATTTGCCTGTCAATGGAAATGGACAGTCAGTATGTTGTGGGCGAGTGGTATGACTGAGCGACAGAAATACTTGGAATCCCTTTAAACATATCAAGTGTTTGGCCACAACTGGTGGATAACTACTGGGCGACAGCGAAAAAACATAGCATTTCTCGCGAGCACTGGTCGTAAAACTAATTAAAAAAAAGTCCCGAAAAATACTAGATATTAGAGATAAAAGTCATCAGAGAGATACAGTTCCCCTACATATACAATGTTTGCCTGGCTGTGACTGATGTTTGCAGTCTTGTCAAAGTAATTATACACTGGAAATGTGTTCAACAAATAAAAAAATAAGTTTTTCGCTGCGAAATGCCATTAGAAATGCAAACGCAATGCAATGACCAGAAAGAAAAAAGGCATTCAAATGGTATGATTGAACTCATGGAGGGATTGACAGCCCAAATGAAATGCCTAAACAAATGCTATAATCAGTGCGAGAGTGAGTGAGTGAGAGAGAGAGAGAGAGAGAGAGAGAGAGAGATTCATAATTGAATAAATCATTTGTGTGTAAAAAACAAATTATCGGTGAATAGCAATAATGGTGAATAATAAGGGAATAAAAAAATAAAATAAAAACACTTTTGCAAAGCTTAGATACCCTGCAAAAAACACATTAGTACTGGAAAAAAGTTAATTAATTGTCTCTCGGAGTTGACATCGAAATTAGGGTTCAAATCGACGCCGACATTAAGGACAGGGACTTATCGGTAAAATCATCAGAAAAATGAGATAAAAATATATACTGTATATAAAAACGACTTATCCCTCGAAAAAGTAGACTTTATTCTTAATAACAGTAATACTAATAATAAGTGTTTGAGAAAAATGAGAGTATTATTAATGATTTTGGAGTTATTTGTGAAGTGCTATTGAAAAGTGTTTGTCATTTGGATAGTGGGTGTGGGGGTCGACAGAGAGACACTGTAGTCATACGGCTCAGTGAGTGCCACACCAATTAAGGGGGGAAAGCCTCGAGGTCTTTTAGGTCACCTAAAGGTCACCTTTACCAACACAGAAGAGGTATCTCACGAATGCTTGTGTGTTTACCTTTCATTCACAGTCAAGACATGCAGATTACGGTAAGTGAGAGTGAGAGCTACTCTCTTATTAGCGAAAATGGTTGGGTTAGGTATGACCTACCAGTGCTCTGTTGGGCTCACAATTCATACTAAAATCAATCAAATTGTAAGTTATGTTTCCAAATGCAATACAATCACACATTCATTAGGGACACACACATGGCGTACATCTGTTGTCAAATCAAGGACTGAAGGGTCGCCCGATATTTATAATATGGCTATGGGTTTGGTGTGTATATGTGTGCCCATGAGTGCCAGTGTCAGAGCCAGATCTCCTATCCTATCCCAGTGCACACACACACCACCACCAGTCAGTCCATGCCATTGAATATGCATTTTTTGGGCACTTTTCTGATCCGTCTATTTTGTACCCAAAAACGATAATAACGTGAAGTAATAGCTTCGGGACAAGTGATTAGTCGTCCGAATATTCCAGAGAATTAGAGAGCATTAAAGAGAGTGACTGAGAGAGAGAGGCATAAAAAGTGTTCATTTTTCTGACAAATCAAATGCAAAACTCGATTCTTGTATTCAATTCAATCACAAAATCATTCATTCCGTGAGTAAATGTAATCAATGAGCGAAACGACGAGAGAGAGAGAGAGAGAGAGAGAGAGACTGGGAATTAGTGGAAAAGATTGGCATAAAAATGGATGAGACGTATGAATAGAAAGATAATGTCCTGAATAGCAAATGCCCTGAAGTAGTGGGCATTGCATATAATATACATACACTATGAACGATATGCATACGTGAATACTATACAGAATGTAGGTCTGGGTCTCTGTGTGTATCACTTAAACGAATTGCCAAATACTAAACACAAGTATATCTATCAGAAGTCAATTAATTATAAAACAATTTTTTATTTTCAATACATTTTTTCCTTTTTAAACGCGAATATCGTTTCGAGAGATGAGATGAGGAGAGAAAACATCATTGAATTGAATGCGAAATTTATCGCAAGAATTAATTATCCGTTTGAATGGCGATAATAGTTGACATGAATAGCAACCAAATTAATCCAAAAAATTACTTTTCGCTAAAAGGCATAAGAAAATCGTCAAAAAATAAAAATAAATACATATTGAAGAAGAAAAGATAATATATTTCACTCTCGCTTTCGATTTGTGTGAATAGCGAGAGAGAGAGAGAGAGAGAGAGAGAGAGAGAGAGAGCATTGAAAATGATAGATAAAAAAGAGAGAAAACGAATTATAAACTGGTTTTTGAATATAAAAAGATCACAAAAATACAAATGAAATCGTATTAAACACATAGAAAGGGAGAGCGAGAGAGAGAAAGCAACTTTTTCTGCTTATATATTCATTTTTGTGAAAATAAAATATAAGCAAAAAATATTTTATATAAATGAGAGATTGAATGGAAAGTATGAGTTGTGTTTGAATTTCTAGTGAAACTCGAAAATCAAGTCATAGACTACATGAAGACCACAACTAAAACTAAACTAACAATAAGTTTTTTAGACTATGGAAAAAATCTTGGAATCCCTTTCAGCTATGAGTTAATGGTATTTGTAATCAATGAGAGAGAGAGAGAGAGAGAGAGAGAGAGAGAGAGAGGGAGAGGGAGAGAGAGAGAGAGAGATTCTTATGTGGCTGGAAATGGTTGTGTCGATCACTCGATCGCATATTTGAGTCCATCATTACTTACACTTCCATATCATTACGATTATAATTATTAGACAATTGTTTGTCATTTACTATTGAATTGTGAGGTCTATGCTAAACACAACTCATGCCCACAGCGTATGCATAATGAGAGGCAGGCATAACGTAAACGGATTTCTTTTCGGGTCATGTATGCCATAATGTCGAGACCAACCAGTCATTTGGTGGCCAATGGTTAAGGGGACTGGCGTTTGTAGGCCTACAATTGGTATTGAAGGTCAGGTACGATAAGTTTCGTAAGCGAGTGAAAAAGTAATAAATTTTGAATCTCTGTTATGCCTCAAAAAAATCTTTCAAACAATCCCTCATAGCGTTCACTCAATTATTGACTTTGGCTATGAGAGAGAGAGAGAGAGAGAGAGAGAGAGAGAAAGAAAGAGAGTGAGTGAGAGAGAGAGAGAGAGAGAGACTCTGAGAGAGAGAGACTGAGAGAGCAAACACAGTGCTGTTTGGCTCATAAAGTTGAAGGAGAAGTTGCTTAGGCTTTAAAATACACGTTAATTACAAATATAAAATTTTTTCTAAAAGCCATTATAATTGTATTGTGGGGCCAAACAGCCAAACACACCGTGAGTTTGTGTGTTGTGTTGGCACTCATTGTTGAGCCCAAAACCAAACGCCACAAAAAGGCCATCAATCGGTGAAATCAGTAATTGTGCCAAAGATTGTGTGCACACAACCAGGTATAAGGTATACACTACCAGTGCTCAGGAGGTCAGGTAGGCTTTCAATAGGAGAGAGTGAGTGGTGGAGGGGTCAGTACTACTCAAGCAAACAGACACTACACCTCTCCGGACAACACCTGTTGATTGCATTCTTAAACTGTGCCTCAAATGCAACATAAGATTGTATTCACTAATAAGCGATTGAATGGAGAACTAAATCCTTAATTATATTTCGGGAAAACGTTTTATAAATTAAGATATAGTGGAGAGAGAGAGAGAGAGAGAGAGAGAGAGAGTCATAAAAAACATATGAAGCAAACAAATGTTTCCAACGATTGACTCGTAATTAGAAATTCATTGATTGAATTCAAAGTCGGTTTGTTTTTACAGATAAAAAATTACATTTAAACCAATAAAATATGTTTAGAGAAGAGATCGAGAAATAGATAAGAGATTTGTGAGACTCCCCGGAGATAAGGGAGAGTGAGAGAGAAAGTAGAGAGAGAGAGAGAGAGAGAGCTTACCATAAGAAATGAATTTAAATTTCATCTCTATTTTCAAGGATATGTTCAATAACTACACAATAAATGTCCGACAAATATATATTGATTTCATTAGCAATAAATCATTTTTCATTTCTGATATATTCATAGACAGACACATAGTCTATGAAAACTTATGGCAAATATGCGCTGCGTTTTGAATAATTCAAAATTCAATTCATAACGAAAACCCAATTATTTTTCATTTTTCAAAAAACATACACTAACTAATATGCATAACATTTAGCTAGGCATATTTCTCGTTTTATGCTAGCCATACATTTAAACAAAATATTTACTCACAAAACTGTTTATAAATGTTAAGTAAACTTTGAAAAAACTTTTTTAAAAATCCATTTCTACTCTCCCCTTGTAATGCAAAATAGATTTATTGGTTTGAATGCAAAATTCACTTCTGGTGCCCCTGTAATCAAAACCTATCGCGTAATCAATCAAATGTATTAATTGTGGCGTTTAATGAATTGCCACTAAAATCATCGTAAGATTTCATTTCTCAATACACTACAAACATTTCATATTCTTGTTATACAATTCGCATGTCATTCCCATTTGGGCTAAGAATTTGTGAGAAGCAATAAAACATCCGACTTTCTCTCTCTCTCTCTCTCTCTCTCTCTCGTCTGTGGTGTAAATGTTTATTAATTACAGAAAAAACTTAAAACATTTTGTTTAGTATTTTTGACATTTATTTATAAGAATCGCTATTTTAGACCAGAAATACACGCCTCGAGAGTCTGTGTTTGCCTTAAGTTTTATATTTAGAAACGAAATGAAATTCATTCGTCTATTTGGGACCGAATTTTCTGAACGTTTAAAAGTCTTAAAACATTTATAATTAACTATTTATTGATATTTATACACATTTTCCCTGTAATTCAAGCGCTCAATACGTTTGCGAAATGATAGTTATAGAGTTGGACCTGAAATATATGTGTTGGTGAGCGCCTGTAGTCCTCGATCTGAACGTGTAATGTATGTATAGCCTTATGTTTCCAGGAATTTATCAGTTTGTATATCAAGTTTTGGGAATTACTGCTCAAGAATTGCTTTTTGAGAAAATAATTTTCAATTTAAATAATTGGGTTTCAGAACCAAAAATGTTTGACTTTATGGATGAGAGAGAGAGAGAGAGAGAGAGAGAGAGAGAGAGAGAGAAAGTCGGATGTTTTATTGCTGCTCACAAATTCTTAGCCCAAATGGGAATGACATGCGAATTGTATAACAAGAATATGAAATGTTTGTATTGTATTGAGAAATGAAATCTTGCGATGATTTTAGTGGCAATTCATTAAACGCCACAATTAATACATTTGATTGATTACGCGATAGGTTTTGATTACAGGGGCACCAGAAGTGAATTTTGCATTCAAACCAATAAATCTATTTTGCATTACAAGGGGAGAGTAGAAATGGATTTTTAAAAAAGTTTTTTCAAAGTTTACTTAACATTTATAAACAGTTTTGTGAGTAAATATTTTGTTTAAATGTATGGCTAGCATAAAACGAGAAATATGCCTAGCTAAATGTTATGCATATATATTTCTGGTCTAAAATAGCGATTCTTATAAATAAATGTCAAAAATACTAAACAAAATGTTTTAAGTTTTTTCTGTAATTAATAAACATTTACACCACAGACGAGAGAGAGAGAGAGAGAGAGAGAGTCGAGTATCGATTGAGAAAACATTGATTTTCTCTCGCATTTCATGGCATAAAAAATTGAATTAAAAATAAAATTTATATTTTTATTCGCCTTTAAAATAATTAAATTTCTGAGAGAAAAGCACTTTATTTTTTGTCGAAAGCTCTCAATCCATTTCTCAGTGATGCCGGTGCCCAATATGATTTCATTAATCACTTTTCAGTTATATATCCCGAAAAAACAAGTAAATGTTTCTCTCTATCAGCAAATAAATGAACGACTCGTTTGTCAGGAGTTTTCCTTTTCAATGAAAACATAAAATTGTGAAAAATCTTTATTTTTATATTTTTCGATTGCACTGAAAATTTTTATATGTATTTATTGAAGACTTAAAATATAAAAATATATATTTAAAATTTTCTGATGAAAATATATTAGGTTTCATCAAAATATTTAGCGTATAAAATGAATGTCTTTTAAGACTTTGAGATTAAGAGGAGAGAGAGAGAGAGAGAGAGAGAGAGACTCCTAAATCCAAAGATAAGAAAATGAGATAAAAAACTAATTTAGATTAGAGATCGACAGAAGAGTTTAGAAATAAATAAATTACAATTATATGCACTTATAATCAACAGCAAAAAACATACATATAATAAATTAAATGCATTTCAATAATAAAGTGAAATATAATTTCCATAAAACCCACGGAATTGGCGATAAAAACAAAAATAGCAAAAAAATTATATGAATTTTAATAAAACTTCATTTCATAGGAATGAATGACTTTTGAAATTAAAAATTGATTTTTATTTTATATTATAATCTCTTTTCTGAATTATACAGTAAATTAATTTCGCGTTGAAATCAATGAGAAATTACAAAATTAAAATACAAAAAACATACATTTCCATAATATATTCAAATTCAAAATCAAAACCACATATAAGTAAAAAAGTAAAACTTTTTAATTATATTTTAAAGCTCGCAAAACTCCTATAAATCACATTAATATCGCTATTAATTAGAGATGTAATTAGCGAGAAATTAAAGGAAACTTATAATTAAATTATTTATATTAAAAAAGTCATTAAACAAATAATGATTACCCCAAAAAATACTTCAAATAATACTATAATATTATAATATGCTCACAAAAAGTGCAATTCATATAAGAATTATAAAAATAATTTAGTATACAATGCAATGCAATATAATATAGCATTCAATACATAAAAGTAAAACAAAATTCATATGAATTATGCAAAGAAGGAGTGAATTAACTGAAAGGCTATAATGAAATACAGAGTGAAATATACGCGTAAAAGGAGTAATCAATAAAATAATTTATGACTTTATTTTTTTAAGAGCCAAATATATAATACCATTACATAGTGTAGTAGATATACAGCACAGACTATAATGGGATTCGCAATTAAAATATTAATACAATTTGAGAGTTCATTGATATCCTCTCGACATCTAATTAATGAACAAAACAAGAGTCGACTTATTATTGTGTATGAAATGTAATGACAAACTCGTGAGCGAGAGAGCAAAAAGAGTAGGAGAGAGAGAGAGAGAGAGAGAGAGACTGGAGTTGGAAATGTCAAACCATTTGGACGGTTCAGACAATTATACTTAAAACTCAAAAACAAATATTAAATACAATTATATAATGAAACATATTATAAATGAAATGAATATAAAAAGCAGTGAAAAATAAAATATTAGTTTTTTCAACTCATGAGAGAGAGAGAGAGAGAGAGAGAGAGATTAATCGATTTTGTCTCATAAAACATTTAAAAATAAAAATCATATAAAACCATAAATAAAAGATTATTAAAATGCTTTTCGTTTTCATTTGTATACATAAAAAATAGTATACGAAAAAAATATTTCATAAATTATACCGACAGTGAATAAGTATAAAATATAATTACATAATAAAATAAAAGTCAATCAAATGAAATAGCATTGAATTAATTATACATATATTTACGAAAAATGCTGCAAAATATGTTAAAAATTTTTCATTAAAAATCTGATATAAAATTCTTGACTATTTTTTTCTAGGAATAAATTATGAATACATATATACTTTTTCACCGAAACTCATACATAAAACAATAGTTTAGTGCAAATATTTGTTGAAAAATATTTGGTAATTAACTGCAAATGTGAGTTACCGGGTGTACGGAAAACGTGAGAATGGAGTGGGCGGTCCCCCAGCAATGGTAGGGTAACCCCCTATCTATTTGCGGCTCATAAATCACCAAATTGTCTGAATTTATGAAACCATTTTGATTATCCAGTCAATTCAAACGGGAATAAACCGCCTAAACGTATGGCCAGTAATGAGGGAGAGAGAGAGAGAGAGAGAGAGAGAGAGAGAGAGAGAGAGAGAGATTCAATTAACGCCAAACAGTATTGTAGTCAAGGATTTGTAATTTTTGCTGAGAATTTGCGCTTAATTTTCCAAATATAGTAATTATATTGTTTTTGGCTCTCATTTAGGGGACTGGTAGGTAATGATTAAAAAAGCCAAAGGCTTGCATAGGGGACCGACATATACCTCCACAGGGTTGTGGGCCACCACCGGCTCCCGGACTCCATGTCTACTGACTTTTAAACAAGTTTTAAGACTTTATGAGTGAGACTAATGTCTTTTTTGAGGGCCAAAACATATGTATGGACTGCCATTTCGCTGCCAAACCATATGGTCAGTGATTAAACACATTAATGCCCATTGAATACAAGTAAACAGTATTCACTAAACAGATTGTGTGTACACTAAACGGGAAGTCAATTAACTTTTGGCAAAAAATACTTAATATTTTTGTTAAAATATGCGAGAAATTCATGTAAAAAAGTACACTATAATCGTTGTACACATTATATATATGTTTTTATGTATAGATTTGAATAGTAATTTAGTTTAATATAAAAAAAAGTTTGTAAACTTAAAACCCATGAGAAAATCCTTCGTAATACCGAAAAATCATAATAACTTTATTTCGTACGCGTATTAAAATGGCAATAAATAAGTGGTTAAAACTAATTATAAACTTTTAAAAGCACATTTATTTCATGAAACATAAATCACATGTTATAATATGTATATAATTATAAAATAACAACTTGTTTTACAAAACAAATATATTATAAAAATAATTTTAAAATATAAAAAACATTAAATTCATAGCAAAAGTGTGGTTAACATAGAGAGAGTCGTATGGATAACGAGCCAACACTACCACTGCTGACATCCATCCCTTTCCACGGGAAAGACATGTTCACAGATATATGACAGACACAGACAATGCATATCCTATGGGGACACACAAAGACCTGGACACAAAAAAGCCCCTAAAAAGCTATTGTCTCTGCAGTGATAGGACACTAAAAAGACGGCTAAAAATGACAATAAAAATGAGATATGAATAGAAAAATGATTATTAAATAAAAGACATATATTTTCATCGATATATACCTCACACGAGTAGATACCATACTATCATAAATCACTGAATCGTTAGTCGATTAGACAAACGGATTGATTGATTGGCGAAAAGATTAATTAAAATGTGAGACAAAAGACACAAAACTATTAATAAAAGTATTCATAAAATACTTATTCATCGCATCCTATGGTGTAGTGATTGATACGGATATCGAGGTATTGAATGCAAAACTAATGTATCATTAATTAGTTGTCGACTTAAAGGACAGTATATTTGTAATGAAAGTCTAATTAATATATGAAATAAATAATAAACATATCATTAATTAACTGAACAGTTGTTTTGTGCGGTAATGAGTGGCAAAACATTAATTATAAACACATTTGCATTGAATATAATGTCTAAACAAATGTCAAAAACTTTTCACTGTTTTGTTGTTTGAATGACATTTGAAATGATGTTTTGAATGAGTTTTTGGGAAATAATACAAATGTTTTGTTTCGTAAAAATCATATGACTTTTGGGTATAATTAACACAAATTATAATACAATGAAAACAAATAAAAAAGTTTTTTAACATTATATTAACTTTTTGCTAGCTACATTAATTAATACGATAGGCACTTACCATTGAGTTTATATGGGCGTAAAATTCACATGGCTTAGTTTTTTAATCACCGATTATTAGCCCGGATAACTTACCGGGGCAATTATTTGTGGGTCACATTTTTTATGTGGATTTTATTTTTTATTTTTAAAACTTTTTTGGCATTTAATTGACACGTGTTTTGAACTGACAATTGATTTCGTGAACTGATTGTCAACTAAACGTCAGTACGTAAGTTACGTGCGAAACAAATGCTGACTTCATTTGTTATCTGAAACACAGCCCCAAACCCAATATGAGCGACAGGCATATAATACAGACAAATAATACATACGATAAACATACCAATCATTGCAGTTGGGGGACACGTAGACGTGGGTTATTGGTGACGTTATTTGTGGATGAGTGGCTAATGGTTATAGTTTTGGCGCTGTTTAGTAGTTTTCAAAACTTTTTTTATTGTAGTTAGTGTTGAATTTGTTATAAATTTATTGATTTTTATAGTTAATTGATTGTACATTTTGTTTAAAACTTTTTATCTTTATAATAAATTATAGTTTTACAGATTGGAGCCTTAGTTACATATAACACACAAATTACTTGTTCATAATTGTATAGCCCTGAACCAGACTCCCAAAAGCTTAGCGTTATGGAGTTTTTTCAAGTTTAGACTTATTTTTAACTAAAATTTATACTATAGAATATTCGACATATTACAAATAACGTTATTATTTATTCATTTATATATTTAAAAAACAAAATGAATATTTTTATAATACAAAAATTAGTATTAGTATTAGTTGTTGTTTTCAATACTCATGTTTTTAAGTTAACGTATAATATGTTCACCTATTTCTGTAAAAACTCTGATTATTTTAAACTGAACATAGCTTTCACAAAAATGTGTAATGGCCATTAATAAGGGTCAGCATTCATTATAAAGGTATTTTGATTAAAGGGGCACTTAATTAATGAGTTATATTTGTGGATTATGAATTGGGGATTTTACTGATCAGTATTTTTTCATAATTTTAACGCTAGAAAGTTCGGACTCTACCCTGAACATTTACACTATTAGCACTCTAACATGGTTAATTAAACAAGTTTAGATTTTAAATCTATAATTTTAAAAGCTTTAGATTCTTGATTTGCATACACATTGAGCGCATAAACAATAATTAATTTATAAATTATGTCTAAATAATAATCATTGAAATAATGGGATAAAAATGAATCAAAATTGCGATTCTTATGCTAAGAATTATTACTTATTAAAACTTATTAATAAAATATTAAGATTTTATAAATCACTTTCGTTTGGTTTTGATGACTAAACCGATATAAGTCATGAATAGGAAGACCGCAGTCATGACTAACATAATGACCGGATTGTAGAATAGGGCTGACTCTGTGAACCCGTTATCCTCGATAACCGCCAGTCCATTGGCATAACACTGACCACTGGACTCGCTGTTGTTTAGGCACGGGATGTAATCGATGTCTTTCCACTGGTTCACCACCAGTGACTCGTATCCGTAGTGTATGAACGATAGGTACTGGATCCACGACAACNGATGTAATCGATGTCTTTCCACTGGTTCACCACCAGTGACTCGTATCCGTAGTGTATGAACGATAGGTACTGGATCCACGACAACCACCCGGGCATATTACTGTTAATACAAATTGGTATATCATAGATAGGAATACCGTATGATATAATATAACTGCAATTCTACAGTAGATTGATATGTGAAAAGGGATCTAAAATACCCGGAATTCAAGAATAGGCCACCAAATAGCATCATTGGCATAACCATAGGCGTGAACATAGCCAACGCCCCCATCATGGTCTTGTTAATCGCCGAAATAAAATAACCTATCACATTTGACAATTACTAATTAGGTTTATATGGGAATGCAAAGCTAAAAAGTTTTAAACTATAAACAGTAAAGGTTATTGTTATTAAAGTAGTACTGTATGTGTAATTGTGCAAATAAATTTATATAAATTAAACTTAGTGAACAGGGTTAAGTACCGAAGGTACACGTGCAAAGTGTCAGTACGACCATAATAGCCATACACGTAAAGAATACAGGGAGTTCGGGGTTAAAGCCAACCATGTAATAGATAACAGCAATGAATATAATCCCGGTGAGAGTAATCACTGGTAACTGTTTTATAAAAATAATCAATTAAACAATTTGGATTATCAAGCTCTTTTCATTTTAGTAGCTAGTTTGATTATTAAATTCAGTGATTGCCTGGATTTAATAGATTATATTTAAAATGAATACCTGGATGAAAGTGGTGGACACGAAATAGGGAAATACACCATACAAACGATTTTTGTACTCTCGCAGGAATATGGGCCCCTCCAAACAGAATATCTGTCCCATTGGGTGAGTTTAATTTATAAATTAATTTTTTTACACATCATAGTATTTTCATACCTGAATACAAAACAATGTATTCATGAACATGGTGTTTTGAATAACGAGAAATAGGGCGGCGTTTATATTTTCCACATCAGATGAGTTGGGAGATTGTTTGTAATAAATAGCGCCCAGGAATAGAGCTAATACCTGTGCTCAGGTACAGTTAGTTAGTCATAGATGAATCAGGGTATTTTGTAAATTCAGTGAGAATATGATTATACCAATGAGCGCATGAATCGGACTTTTAGTAACAATGGATTGCGGATTAGTATTAGGTATGCCCTCCAGAATAGGGTAAACATTTGTCGCCAAACGCCGGCCCTATGACCCCTGTCCACAATATCTTCATTTCCATCGGTCTGCTCGTCAAAAGTATCCTCAGACTTATTTTCAGTCGCTTTTGTGGTCATTATAGGCGAGTGGGAAAAGTCGAGATAATTGTCGCATATTTTCTAACATTTGGTATACATTTATAGATGATTTGTTTGAATAGTTTTTATTGTATGAAAATAATATTACATTCACTTTATCCTTGCATTCCTTGCGATTGGCAGCCCTTATGGCTGTATGAAGTAAATAAGCATGGTTAATAAATTGAACAAAAATATACCAGCATTAATATTTTTAAAAAGGTGTGTAAGTGTTTGAATACAAACCCAATTGATTCATGTAATAATCGGCGGGATTGTAGTTTTTGGGACAATTCTTGTGATATGAATATTAAATGCAATTATATTTTAATCAAAAAGTCATTCAAGTCTTACGTATCCGAGAGATGAGAAGAACTCCTTGGCTTCGCCTCAATATATCAATGGATTAGAAATAATTTGAATATTGAATACAAGTTTGAATACAAGTTAATTACATACGAGTTGTGCCCATAAAAGCTACC